GTAATTGCCGTTAGCAAGTAGTAGTACATAATATGGCTGTGGCAGCAAAAATGTCACGTGACGCAAATTTTTCATAATTCTTTCGCTGCATTTGCTGCGTATAAAAAGGAATGACAACAATAGCATACGTATTAAAGTTCAATCTCAAATACGTCTTTTATTTGCTCAGTTTGAAAATTAATATGGAAAAAGATAAAAACTTATGATTATATGGCAACTGTTAGTGTAGTTACAATTTGGACAACTATCATACCAGATAATTATTTAGAATTTAGAATATTACTTGAAATTTTAATAAAAATGTACTCATTGTATGTACTCATTGTAAATGTACTCAATTTTCACATTTTTTGCAAATATTGCAGATTTTCTCAACTTCGAATTCTTTGCTGCTCATTATTGTTTGTTTGGTTTAACTTCAAATGCGGCAAAATGTATTTTTCGTTGAAAGTACGCCATTTCATACAAAATTTTTAACCGAATTGCTGCACGCATTGTCACTCTCTCGTCTAGCCATGTAAGGTACTACTTTGTATAATAATGAGATACACTGAAGATGACTCGAATGTAAGAAATGTCTGATTTCATCGATTTCAATAAATCTCTTTCTCGCATGACTTACAGCGAAAAAACTCTCTTAGCCCTCTTTTTATTCATATTTTTGATATTATAATAACTACAAAAAATTTTACTAAATGATACATGATAGTACAACTCTTGAAGAAGAAAAATTACCCCTGTAAATTGCTATGCGACTGCTCAAAGATGTAAATAATTAAGTTTTCCGCGGACAGGTTTTTAGTGATGGCTTTTTGCAAAAACTAGTGAACATTACAGGTTCGTTCAGGGCTAAATTTGTTCGTCATTACGAGGGCTACATTTTACGAAAATTTCGAAGCTTTGCGTTTAAATCTCAATGAACAGAGAACGAGTGAACAAAAGCCTTTTCCGATGATTTTTATTTTTTTTCTACTTAACTAATAGATCGATTTTAATGTTCCACGTCTCATTTTGTAGGTATTTCGAATATCTATATTTTTTATACCGAATTTTTTTCCATACAATCAATATCTTTCGTTTTATAAGCGAAAAACGTTTGCTTGCTTTTTGCAACTATTCGATTTTTTTTCGCATATTTTCTTTGCAAGTCTCCAATCTCAAATATATGCATTTCTTTTCTGATGGCCTTTCGAAGATTTTCGTGAAGAGAAATGCTAGTTTATAATTTTTTTCTGTAAAATTCTACTTCTCTTGAACTATTCTTGCTACTCGAATTTATGAAGGAGGTATATAACGCGCATGAAAAATCGTAAACAATTAAATATCTCGTAAGCTGTTGCGTTTTGACATGATTTATACTATTCTGGATTAATGGAGAAGTATACTATTACTACAATTTATTAAAACTTATATGTTATTTAGAATGCTTCTCGCTCCTTATCGATGCCGGAAGCCAAAATTGCCGAAAAAGCATTTTCGGTCGCTTGAAACAAGTGATTAGTGTGAGAAAGAGCTCGCTGTCTCGGCATACCGACGGTGAGAACACGTACATAGGTTCGTACTTGTATGTGTGTTACAGCGCCACACCACGATAAATGGCTGAACTTGTAAGCATGGAAAAGTGACATTTTGATGACAAAATTTATTGCATGCATTTCGTTGTTATTTGCTTAATTGTGAAAATGTGACTAGTCTTGTACTTATCAAAATCGTAATTATCGATGAAAACTAAAGTTATCTTGGAATTTTATATGTAAAAGCATATATTTTACAACGTACGTTTCAACAGTTGTCGGACTGTGTGTTTCTACCAAAATATAAGCTCATTTTACGTCCCTTTTACGACCACTTACTGAACAAAAGAGGAAAGTTTTCATCGATTTTTACAAGTGTTTTAAAGCGATCTCATCATTTCATTTCATCCAAATTGTCTTCATTTAAAAATGGCATGCAACGTGTAAATAAATTAACGTGTCATTCCTCGCTTCTGACGTCACGATTCCAACATAGCTGCCGCGACTAATCAGGAGCTTTAATCCTTATAACTCGGAACCGGATTATGTGCGATCTCTGAAAAGCAATAGGAGGAGTGAGTATGAAGTCTTTTGGTTCTACAATAAATTGAAATTGATGCAGGTCATATTAACAATATTCTAGTTTATTATTAAACCAAAAATTGCTTAGTATTACAATATTTTAAAATAGTTGTAGCTATATTTGTAACTATTATCGTTTTAGTATATTATAAGAGTAATCTAGCTTTCTTGAGTAATCTTGCATTTATCTTATTGTAGTATTTATTTCTATAAACTAATTACTATTTACCAAAAAATTGTACATTGTGAAATGTGTTGGTTGCTTAATTGCAAAATTATTAATTAGTTACAAGAGACAAGTATACATGTTCTTCACCGCTTATGTTAGCCCATAGAGCAAGCGTGCGTGCGTGCGTGTGTGTTTGTGTGTTGTGTGTAACGGAGAGGCGATACGAGAATTAATTCAATTCGCGAATTACGACGGAGCAAGGAGAGAAGAGATTATAGAAGAAACTTACCAAAACTTACAGGAGATAGGGGTGGAGTGATTGCGGTAGGAATGTGAGGGTGGATGCCCAGTTATGGCAGTTCGTCAGGGTCAAAATAATCGGAGTTGATAATATAGGCACCTGGTGGGAGAGGTTCTGTTGTGCGGGGAAATCTATCAATTAGAGTTATCAGGGTGATAACTCAAAAGAGTTATCAGGGTGAATGAAAAATTCATTACACGGAGGAGCGGAAAACTCTTCCAGAAATTCTACGCTCGAAGGTTGAGTCAGCAGATGATTGTGATCGAGATGACGAAGGGACAGACTGGATAAAGGAGTCAGAAATTAGAGGTGAGGTGTCTGGAAAGATTCGCTTCGACCGATAACGCGGGTGACGAAGATCGAGAAGAAGAAGGAGGAAGTATTGCCTATAACGCGTCCTGGTGAATCGGTCGAGTCGACGAAGCCGGTGATGACAAAGGTGGTGGAGCCATTCTAATGGAATCGAATCATGGCTGGATGAATCTGATTCCAAAAACAAGAGATCTTAAGATATTCTTAATACGATCCAGGTCTCCGCGTTTCGAAGGAGGCCCGGTTTCTAAGCCAACCTTTGTATGGGCAGGCTTTGAAAGAATAGGAACAGGAATTTCAACCTACCAGAAATCATTTATTGTGGAATACACAGTTCCTGATAGATTGAAATTCTTATTCTCTGTTCCCTATTTCTTCCATTGTGCGCAGCCCCTAAGATTCTGTAGGAGCTTGTATAGTGTAAATAATTGTGCGCAGCCCCTAAGATTCTGTAGGAGCTTGTGTAAATAATTATTGACAACAGAGAAAAATATCAGGGCACTTCTCGTCTCGAACTCAGGCCTGATCTCTCCTCCGAGTTGGTAAACTTCCGTCCTTCCACTGAGCCACACAGCTCTGACACTGATAGCTTCTCTGTTGTGTCTATTTCCTCTAAATTTCTTACAATATAGGTACCTATAGGATTTACAGCATGTATACGTAGGAAATTTTTCTATAAGATTTTACATAGGAATCTATGACATCAGTCCATGAAAAGAGGCTCCTATAGGATCGCATGGGAAAAAGAATAATATGCATGTTAATGCGATCGGACCTAAATGATAAACAGGATGTCACGTATTTGTCACTATTTGTCATGTCACGTATTTGGGACTATTTTCGTGTGCAGATAAAGTAGACTAAACTGAATCGAAAAATCCTGTATCATTTTGCAATTTTCAAAATAGTTAGTTTTTAAAAATTGCCGAATAAGCGGGTAAAACCGACACATAAAACAACTTTAAAATATTTTTCAGAGTTTTTTATGACATATTTTAAAGATGTGTTTTCAAAGAATTCTTAAAGATATCTTAAAGTTGTCTCATGCATCGATTTTAGACATTTTTTCATTGGGTAATAATTGCGAAAATTACAAAATGATAAAAGACCTTCTGGTTCAGTTTAATCTGCTCTATCTGCACATAAAAATAGTTCCAAATATTTTGAGATACCTTGTATAGTCCCAAAATAGTCACAAATATTCTGAGATATCTTGTAGTCCCTATAATATACACATTAGAGTGTGTACCCAAAATGCTATAACAGCCGATTGATGTAATTTTACATGAACGATAATTTTTCCATAACTCCAAAAATTGGAAGTCACGTGATAAACAAAGTGTGTTTGGTGACTCAAAAAAGTTACGAGTATATATTTTCCTTATGGCAGTCAGAATTTTTTTTCACCCGACATGGAATGTTCCTCGTTTAACTAACTATTATCGTAGATTCCAGTTTTTGGGAGAGTTACGAATTATTCCCTTAAGTTGATATAGGTACTCATAGGAATGCGGAAGAGATGCCTCATAGGAACTAAAGACCTACACTTAGACTTAAAATACTACTTTGACATATAGGAACATGTAGGTAGGAGTTAGGACATAGGAGATGTGCATTGTGTCCTATGGCAGCCTATAGGCATTCTCAGTTCCCATGGGGCACCTCTCTTTTGTTTTACGTATGCCTACATGTTGCTATACGTCAAACTGATATTCTATAAATCTTTTAGTTCTCATGCATCTGTCCACATTCCTATGGGTACCTCTATTTGCATTCCTATATAAATGTCCTACGTATACCTATGCATGCTGCGCAAATCCTATAAGTAACTACACAAACTCCTATAGAATCTTATAGTCCTCTATAGGAACCCATGAAAAAACCCATGGGAATTTGCAGCAGGGCATACACGTTCGGATAGACCGACTGGCAAAAATATATATATATACATATACACTCTTCTGAATATGTTTGTACGAAACTTTTAGACGTTAGTGCAAAATATATTAGAATTATATGGCGGATCATATCTGATAACGCGGGTAAAAAACTATAAGTGATCTATGTAAAATTCCGTATATATTCATATAAAGCATACAAAACACCTGAATATGCAAATTTAATACGATAGAAAGTCGAATGAGATTCATATCAAACTGTATAAAAAACTATAGAAGAAGATCTTCAGAAATGAAAAGACATACAATAAAAATGACCAATTTTTCGTACTGAAAGTCATTCGTACTGAAAGTCATATGTGATACGTTAGAATTGACGATATTCTCTTTTGTAGTCTATCCGTTTCTTTCGAATTTTTAATCAGGGTGTTCAAGCAAAAGATCACACACATTAATTTTAAATAGTATTATTTATTATAAAATATATTTATAATGTACTTACAAATATTAACACATTTAATTCAATTAACTTCAAAAAGAAAATTTTTTTAATGCGAAGTGGGGGTATGTCCATCCACATAAAAATTTCTAGTTGCTTTAGGTAATTCTAACTCTATACCATCTAATTCCTTCTTCAAAATTATTTGACAACCTAGAAAAAACATAAACACGAGTTATTCATATTTATTTATTCATATTTGTAGAATTATACATGTTAAAGCTATGTTACTTTTCATAATTATATCGAATAATATTACAAACTAAAAATCAAGAAAAAGAATCATTTTTTATATTGTCCTTGTAAATGTAATAAATTAGACTAACAAAGGAAAATCCCAATCTGTATAAATCCAAAAAATAATGAAATTGTGACAATACATAAAGAAGATGGATAATCGGGTTCGTGCGCAATCGGATCTGTGCGCAATGGGGTTTGTATGTAATCGGTTCTGTGCGCAATCGGATCTGTGTGCAAACGGGGTCATGTGTAATCGAGTCCGTGTCCGATCGCGTCTGTGTCGGGTCCATGTTCGATTGAGAAATACTGCCGTGTCCGATCGATAATGTGCGCAATCAAGCCTGATTCATAAAAGCTGTACGGTTACAAATTAAAGACTTTGTACAAATATTTAAGGAAATTTTAACCGAACCTAAAGATGCGAAAACTATTAGCGAAGCTACTTCTTTATTAAATGGAATTCAATCTTTCCCAATCATATTAGGTGTAGTAAAAAGAAATCCATTATTTTTCCAATAGATGGCTTTAATAATCTGTATCTCGCGAACGCGAGATTCTTTTACAGGATGGACAGAATTCTGATATAGATGGAACAGATCTGTTTGAAGAATTGCTATCTTTTATTCAAGTAATTCTAAAAAACAATCAAAATTGTCTTTTAGATATACTGAAATACCTGATTGAATTAAAACTAAATCTATCCAAATATTTATACAATTATAATGATGTAAGTTTACAGGATATTAAAAAGCTAATCGCAGAACTTGTTGCGTAAAATTATTTTATATATCTTAATGATAATTACATAAATTTGATATTCAAATCTATTCTCTTAAATTCGAAATTTTAACATATTTCGGCTACTTGTGTTCGAGCCCTCTTCAGAAATTCAATAAATATAATTACATGATGTCAATAAAAAGAGAGGTGTCACATGAGACTAATTTTTCTAATGTAATTAAACTTTGCTTCAGTAAAAGCGAGAAAAGTTATGTTTTAAGATTATTATTTTATTTTCAAAGATTTTATTATAAAATGTATTTTATTATAAAAGATTTTATCATGAATTTTATCATAATATGTCAAACTTTTACGTTTATTTTATTTTCAAGAATCAGCACATTTTTTTTTGCACTCGGCCTCGCATTAACTAGAGCTGGCCCTGTCGTGTCTGATTGGGCAAAAGGCATTCACTTTACCACGCTAGCATCGTGCGAGCCTCGTGATTACGGTATTTAGTCGCAAGAAAAAACTATTCTCATGACGTAAGAAGAGTAGTCTGTACACAAGGTGTACAGACATAGAAGACATTCCCGAAAAAGCGCAGTAGGAAAGTGAATTTGATTGGTTATTCCAATATGTCGCTATTATACAATACATAGGAAAGTGCATAGAGGCCAAAATTTGATTGATTGTTTCCAGTATCGCTATTATGCGCAATGATATACCTTGTATTCTTACATCATAGCTGTTCCGATAGTCCTTTGGATATGTATAATACAAGTCTTCACATAAATTAATAAACTTATTAAACTGTGGAAGGAAGAAATATTAT